CAGACCCCACTGCACCCTATGTCTAGGGGGAGTAAGAAGTCGCGGCCCCCCCGCCCCCCCCCCCCCCCCCCCCTAAAAAAACGATCCAAATGCCAATGTTTCAAAAATAGATTAAGTCCACCCATCACATGACAGTGCTTGGGCCCGGCAAATGGCTACTTCATTGTGGGAAGGTGGTGCATAATGGGGAAGTGTCACATTTGCCCCACACACCCAAAAGCACTGCATTTTTCTGGTTTCCAAAGTGGCACATTGAACGCAGGAGCTGGGCCGGGTAGGAGTAGGCACCTTCTAGTGGCTTTTGCTAAGCAGAAGCATTCCTTAGAATTTTTTTGTCAGTAGAGTCGCTTTAATAGAAAATGTAATGGTGTACTGTAAAAAAAAAAGTACGTACCCCTTGGCCTCAGAGGCTGGTATTGCTCCCTTAGCAGAAATTATTTATTGAAGGTGTTTCTGTGACATTTAATTTTTTTACCACTTCCCCATACCAAATTTCTTCAGTGGTAAGATGTTTGTTGGTTTTCTTGCATGAAATGCACATTTTAAATCCCCCCCACAGCATTTCAAGATATTCAAATCAGAGCTTTGACTAGGCCAGTCCATAACCCTCCATGTTATCTTTTTAAGACATTCCTTGGTGGATGTAATCATTATTGTGTTGAAAGATCCATTTCAGGTTCCACTTTCAGACAGATGGCCTTACATTCTCATCAAGCACACTTTGATATGATGCAGAGTTCCTAGTTGGATTAACTAGTGTAAGATGCCCAGGCCCTAAAAGCAGCAGACTCAAACCATAACACTTCTACCACCCATGCTTCACAGTTGGTATGATGGTTTTCTCCTGAAATTCTTGCATAAAACTGATAAACTGTCTGCTGTTACAGATATGTCTTTTGATCCGTCGGTCCACAGCACAGTGTTCCAGAAGGCTGGTATCTGCCTATTTGTTCAATGGCAGGCTCTAATCTTTGCTCTAATGTTCTTTTTGGACAGCAGAGGCTTTTTCCTGGCACACCTCCAATACAGGTTCAATTAGAGCAATCTATGTCTGAGAGTAGATGCATGCACTTTGATACCAACTGTTGCAAGAGTTTTTCTGCAGATCCTGCAACCAATTTCGGGTTCTTGGAGACTTCTTTAAGCATCACATGGTCAGCTCTTTGGCTGAATTACGAGGGTCGGCTAATCCTAGACAATGAGCAGTTTAAAATCTGTGCCGTTTGTAGATTATGCTCCTTACAGTGAAATGATTGATTTCAAATAATTTGGCAATCTTTTTAAATCCCTTGCTGGATACATAGGCACCCACAACTTTCTTTCTGAGGGCCTTAGTCCCCGTCCACTGCATAGTGTTGTGTAGACACACGTTTCTTCCTGCTTGTTACCTGCATTTGGCGCACATCCCCATTAATTTCAATTGATGTCAATAGCAAACAGAACACTAAACCTTAGATCGCTGAGGTTTACATAAGACCAGCATACTCCCTAAGGCTGGGCGCACACCTTACAACCATCGCAAGACTTCTGTCTTGCGATGGTTGTAAGGTACTTAAAAAAAACGTACGATCTGCCTATGTTGCATAGGCAGATCGTACTTGTGATGATCGCAAGCCACGCCCCCCGAGGGGCGGGCTTCCGATGACCGCAATGCCGAACGGGCAGTGTGCGCTTGCGCACACCGGCCCGTACGGCTGTTATCGCACGGACATGCCACAAACCCGCCGAACATCGTACGATGCTCGGCGGGTTTTTGAACATGTCCGTAAGTTTAAAGTCGTGCGATCTTATAGTAGTAGAGGTCGCACGGCTTCCACACACCTTACGATCATCATACGATCGCGGGATTTCCCGCGATTATCGTACGATAATCGTAAGGTGTGTGGGGACCCTAAGGAGGTTCTAATCATTGGAACCTGATCAGGAACACCAGATTCTATTTACACAGATTTGATGTGGTGGAAAATGTTACTTTTACCAAGTGCTAAATCTGCATTTCCATTCATTTCAGTTATGGAGAACGTCAGTTTCATATTTTTTGTACACGTATCTCACCATTATCTGTAAGCACTGTTTAAATAAGGAGCCAATGTTTGCCTGTTTAAAATAGGATGAAAAGTCAACATTTACCATGGGGTGTACTTACTTTTTCACATGACTATATATGTAGGTGTGAAAGTGACCTTTATGTGACGTGAGAACACAGCTGGTTTGTCTACTTTAGATAACATTGTTTGCAGTTGGTAGCTAGATGAAAGAGGAAGTATAATAACCTTTTATCTTTGTCAAGCATTGTTGTTGCCTTTTTCTTGCAGTGCCCAGTCTTTGACCTCGATAATAATGTGGCTTTCACCGGCATGTATCAGACAATGACCAAAAAAGCTGCTATCACAGTGCAGGTGACTGAGTCTCGTGCTTTTGTTATTTTCTATCTTACCCCCCTTCATTTTACAAGCTTGAATGTTAGTGGATTTTTTTATTTTTTTTTAAAGAGCATATACTACCCTGTCATAACATCAGAAGTGTAATTGGTATACATACTATAGTTCAGGGGTAGGTAAACTCCGGCCCTCCTGCTGTGGTGCAACTACAAATCCCATTAGGCATTGCAAGACTCTGACAGCCACAGGCATGACTCCTTAAGGCAGATCATGATGGGATTTGTATTTTTTTCCCCAGCTGGAGGGCCATAGAATACCCACCCCTCTCATAGTTGCAATCAAGGTTTACTGGTAAGAATCCTTTTTATGTAGTGAGTGCTGCCTTGTGTCTGCCCATCACTTTCACCATCTGGATTCCCAGTGTGCTTTGTGTCTTTTTCCATGCTGCTTGATGTGATGCAATCTCAAATTCTCAAGACTACATATCCCATCATGCATTGCTTCCAGCAAGCAATGATAATGTTGCATTGTTCAGACAGTGAGTTGTAGTTCAGAAGGCAGGCTCTGTGATATTTGTGGCACTGATTAAAATTGTATCAGTGCATCGTAGGGCTGCAACCAACTAATCGATAATGAGAATAGTTGTCAATTATTCTCATTATTGATTAGTTGGTTGGATCCCCTAGCACTCCTCTCTACGCTGGGAGGAGAACACAGCAAGCAGTGGGCGGGTGCAATAGCCAGCCTGCTATTGGCTATTGCAATTTGATATGGCCAATAGCAGGCTGGCTATTGCACCAGCCTACTACCTGTTGTGTTTACATTCAGCTACCTTCTGTAGAATCTTGCCACTGGCAGGTGTCATTCTCTGGCTCAAGCTATTCATGCACCATGTGCTTACAATACAATTTATTTTAAAAAAAATTCTAAAAGGTGAAAAAATAGTCATTTTTGGTTTCAGCCTGACAAATTCTGCTGCGGGAGGTGCGTTGCAGTGGCGTTCATTTCAATGGCACTCCAAACACACCTTCCACCCTCTGGCAGGTGTGTTTGGAGCACGTTCCATTGCACTGGAACGTGCGATACCGCAATGCTGTGCTTTCCAGTGCAGTGCGATTGCCAACATTTGTGCATGCAGTTTTATTCTGAAGTGACCTTTGTTTGTAACACTGCATTTGTGTATTTTATTTTAAATTAAGGATGGGATTTATTGAATTTTTTAAATCCAATTAATCAAAAAAATAATCGGCCAACTAATCGATGATGAAAATAGCCCTAGTGCATAGAGGAAGTACATCCTATGGGCATCTTCAGTAAGTTTATAAACTTCTAGATGGAGATGGTCATTAGTAGTGGGATCAAACTCATGGAAAATTGAATATAGAAATACAGATTTAGTTTTAGTTTTTGACCATAGATACCATTTAATGGAAAAATATCTAATTTGCTTAATTCTTTATCTGTTTCTCTATATCCATAGAAGTTTCAGGTGTCACAAATTGTCTTTTTTTTGCTCTGGCTGTTGATTTTTACTAATGTTACCAGTCAATGTATGGACCTTGACATGATCTCATATGCTGATATTAATCCTCAATATGGCATAACGTATGTTAATGATTGGTGTCTGTGACATGGCTGTATATTAGTGGGGATGTGCCTCATCCATGTATGTGCTGGGACACATTTCATCAGTACAATGCAGGCTGTTGCTGCTATGTTAGAAGCTCATGTTTTACTGTTATTCTCTCGTCACCTTTCAGAAAAAGGATTTTAACAAAGGTGGTTTCTATGTCGTCGTTGTTGTAAAGACAGAGGATGAAGCCTGTGGAGGAGGCCTGCCTTATTATCCATTAGATCCAGGTATCTTTCCGTCTCAAGCGCTCGGTCACTTTATCTCTTAAAGGAGAACTGTGGGGAGAGTCAAGCTATGGGGAGAGCCGGCATGTGAAACTGCAGCTTTGACACGTCGGCTCTATAGATCGAGAGCTGAGTGATCACGATCCGCTAATTGTTCAGCTCTTGGTCTTCTCTCTGCAGAGAGTGATGACTGTCATTCACTGCTCTCCGCAGGGATTTTCCCCTCCCCTCTCTGTTCCGCCAGTGCTTTTTCGAGGGACAGAGAGGGGAGGGGGCGGGCACAGTTGGCTCTGGCTCTAGAGAGACAGAGCCAGCTGTCAGGCAGTGGGGTGAATCCCGACAATATTGCCAGGACCTTCCTGGCTGCATCATGGCTCTGTACTGTTATCATATAGCGCTCAGTAGCCCGATTATATGCTGAGTTTAGGTCACAAGAGGACAGTATTTGTATTTGCCCATCCAGTCCTCAGATTTGAACAACCCTCTCACGCAGCACAAACACCTCTTTCTTGTTACACTTATAGACTATAGAAGGAATATAGTGATGTCATCTCTCTGCTCCTAGCTTGCTGACTGGACAGCGATGAGGTCATCCCTCTGCTCACTCTGCTTTTTCCTCCTTTCAGTACAATTGCATGCAGCTCGCTTAAGTGGTCCCAGTGTTGCCCCTCCCTCTCCCAGTTTGGGTGCCCCTGTATGGGACATTGCATGAGGCTGATAGCAAGTAAAATAGGGGTACTTATACTAGCTGCATCTAAGTAGTACATTTATTGAGGTATTCATGAATATACAGGTGCATTAACTTGTGTCTTTATATCTGATATCTTTTATATTAATAAAAAAGCCGCAATCCCACCACCCTGCTGTACGGTGGGCTCTCTCTTTTATGTATCGCCCTCTTCTCATCAGCCTCCCTCTAAAAAACTCTGCTTATAGGGCCGCCTTCCCTACCTCTTATAATTCAGTGCTTGGTCTATAAGCAGCAGATCACAAAATCTGAGCTCTGTCATATGGGGGGCCAGCAGGGTGCCTAACAATGACCCTGAATTGACTTTCACGAAAACTTGCACATATAATTTGTGAGGGCCACGGTGGGGATCGGAGTAGCTGATGGAAGTGGGGGGCAGTGTGTACAGATACCAGAAAGTCCCTGCTACACATTGAGGAGGTGCGGTTGTGTTTATTTCATGCCAGATACACTTAGGGGTATATATTTAAAACATTGGAGAGCCATTGGCCCTGCAAATCTCTCTGAATGTTCATTCCGTGCGAATAAATGCACGAATCGAATGTTCAAATGTATTTTTGTATGTCATCTTGTAATACTGCATTATGGCCACTAGATGGAGGTGTGAAGCACAGGGAGTATGCATTTCTCTCCTATGCCCCTCAGCTCTATTTAGTGGCCATTGTTTTTGCAATTTGTTTATCAGTAGACCCCCTCTGAGTCCTAATGATTATGCTTGTTTATTTCAGATGCCCCTATAGAGCATGGAGACCGCCATAAAACGTTGGAAGTTCTGGTCAGCCCCGCCATTAGCAGTATGTAGATGGGACAGCGTTGGGGGATCTTTTGGTGTGTCCATGTCATTGTGCTTACGTTGTGTCTTTTCTCTCTCAGGGACGACTTATGTTGGTGGCATGGTGTTCTCTTTAGGGGTTTTCTTGTCTTTCTACCTGTTTGCACTGCTCATATACTGCTGGAATGAATCGAGGTAAGCACTGAATGGTAAATATCACCCAGAAACAAGAGGCTATCAAATGTTTTCTATCTCCCAATAGTAAAGGAAAAGCCGATATTATCAGTATGTCATCTGTAACATTCTTTCCCTGCTGCCTCATGTCATGGCAAGAATTTGTAAAGTAAACTCCACGTGATGAATTGGAGGGCTCGCTGGTTATTCCGTGTACGCCTCTGCATTGGCACGCGGCATCTTAGAAGGACAATGAGATTTCTGGGTGGCAGACAATGAGCTGTTAATATTGTGAACATTCAATGTCCTTCAGTATATGTGTAAAGATTGGACTTTCATTTGGACAAGTGAATATTTAAAGCAAAACTCCGGGGGCAAACTTTTCTTAAAGGAGAACTATGAGGTGAGTGAAAATCTCTCATCCTCTTAGTTCGAGAAGACGTGTGACAATGAAACTGTCACACGTCGGCTCAATAGATCGGGAAGTGAGCGAACACATACCGTCGCTCGCTCACCTCTCGATCCTGTCCCTGCAGAGAGCGGTGACCGTCAGTCATGGCTCCCTGCAGGGATTCACCTGCCCTGATCCTCCAGCGCTAAGTGGAGGAACAAACAGGGAAGGGGCGGGTACAGCTGGCTGATAGGCAGAGCCAGCTGTCGGTCACGCAGCTGGGTGGATCTCGAAAGCGTTGTCTGGATCCGTCTCGACTGCGGCAGTCTTGGTATACCGCGAGCTGGAGGAAAATAACGAATTTATACTCTCCCAATCCTCTGAGCCAGTTTGCTCTTAGACTTGTCCCTTCCGCCTGTGTCCTCCTCCGTGAGAGGAAAGTTCTCTCTCAGGTCTGCTCCTCTGCTCAGTGGGCGGGTGCAATAGCCAGCCTGCTATTGGCTATTGCAATTTTTAAAATAGCCAATAGCAGTCTTGCGATTTGATCCCGGCCGTTTACATTTACCTGCCGGCTTTGGAAACGAGTTGGCAGGTGAATGGGGAAGCGGAGCGCCTCTGGGCTGGTTGCTGAAGAGCTACTATTTAACTCTCCAGCAACTAGAAACTACAGTTATCCGGCACCTACCAATGCCTGGGAGCCGAATACATGGGAATGTACTGTACAGTAAACTCCATCATAAATGCAAACATTCGTAAGTTGGTTGATTGCAACCTGACGAGCACCTATACTCGCCAGAACCCTGATCCTGGCTGGCTCCTAGACCGCTTCCTCCAGCCTCTCTCCTCTGCTCTAGTAAAGGAATGTCTCTTGACATCCTCATGCCCAATACACTGTATAGAACGTGAGGAGTCACAGGACCTTAGACCACTGGCGCAAAGGGAGAGCGAAACTGAAGGGACCGGTCTAAGAGGAAGCTGAGTTCAGGGTTCAGTTGAGTATAACTTTGTTATTTTTGCCCCTAGACAAAATGAGCACTTAACCCTCGCAGTTCGGGGGTAGCCCCACTGCAAGGGTTAAGATTTGATTTGCCCGGAGTTCTGCTTTAACATATTGTTAGTGGACAGCTGTGCAGATATTTCCCAAAGCAGATGCTTTTGGTGGTCATTGCTATGCCATGTGTTGTCATGTGGCTTTATAGGTTACAGGCTGGATTATGTATGCCAGCAATATACACCTTTGAGCTCATGCTGTGATGTCAGTCACATGGAGGCTATGAGGATCATTTATAAATAATAAAGCAGTCTGCAGTAAACCCTTCATTTTGATTGGCTGCTCTGAGAAACATTAACAGCCTTTTGTAATAAAGTGTCAATTCCGAAGTGCCGTTCCCTCAGCCCATATGAGAGTTCACTTTTCTGAAGTCTGCACAGGGCAAGGCACAAACTAATTGGTCGCTGTGGTTGCTGCATTGGCGCCTTATAACAGAGAGCTGTAAATGAGCATCTAAGACAGGGGTGAGCAAATTTCATCCCTCCAGCTCTGATGCAACTACAAATCCCATGAGACACTGCAAGACTCTGACAGCCAAAGGCATACCTCCCAGAGGCAGTGGCATGATGGGGTATGTAGTTTTACCACAGCTGAAGGGTCTGAGTCTGCCTATCTCTGGTCTAGGATTTTATCTGACAAGTTAACAAACAAATGGGATACCCACTGCCTTGCTCAATTGTCAGATGATACGCTTCATGAATTATAGGGAACACCCTGATAGTGAAATATGAGGTCAGGATAACTCTCCCCGTCTAATGACTTCAGATGTCTATTCAGAATACAGGGACATTGTGGTACACTTCACCATATGGATCTTCTCACTATTATGTGTTTTTGTATCTAGAAAAAACAAGAAAGTTTTGCTGCATTCGGTCAGTGCTCTGAATGATGAAACAGGTAATTACACTGTCAGGGGGGAAAGCTGTTCTCATTTCACATAATTAAAATAACATTTCAAGTGTATCTAAAGAATGAAAATGTAATATATTATATCTTACCAGTCTGTAGATGTGGTGACTGCATTCGTTCTCTTTTTTTTCAGGCTTTTCCCCCCATTATTTAAACCTGGTAAGCATACCAGGAACACACTTCCTGTCCCAGGGTGACAACACTCAGCATACTGTATCTGTGGAGGAGGAGCGTTGTCACTCTAGGACGTGAAGTGTGCTAGGGCTACAGAACACCTCCCGCTGCTTTCTAGAACATGAGGTTAAGGTTACAACAGTGTTTTGTTATGACCAGCCTTTCAAGGAGGAATGAAATCCATTGTCCTGGACAGATTAATTGCTGCCTTGTGCTAGTCTATCACAGTGATCACATGATCGGGAAGCCCACCTCTGCCCCCGACATTAAAAACCCCTTAAAGGTGTTCTGAAAAGATTCACTGCTGCCATGTGGTAGCCTATCACACTGATCACATGATCAGGAAGCCTGCCTCTGCGCCCGACATTAGGAACCCCTTAAAGGGGGCCTGAGAAGATGAATTGCTGCCTTGTGGTAGCCTATCACATGATCAGGAAGCCCGTCTCTGCCCCGACATTAGGAACCCCTTAAAGGGAGCCTGAGAAGATTAATTGCTGCCTTGTGCTAGCCTATCACAGTGATCACATGATCGGGAAGCCTGCCTCTGCGCCCGACATTAGGAACCCCTTAAAGGGGTCCTGAGAAGATTAATTGCTGCCTTGTGCTAGCCTGTCACAGTGATCACATGATCGGGAAGCCTGATTCTGCCCTTGGCGTTGAGAAAGGACCATCTCCTGATGGCTGGAACAGGATTTAGTAAATGGCACTGTGTTGGATGTCAGAAATATAAGCCAGAAATGTACATGGCATGTAGACGTATAGCAGTTCACTTAGCAGAAATATCTTCTTCCTACATATGAATTGTGATTTAACCTGTCATTATTACTTTATTTTCCTGCTTCTGATGTTCACCATTTGCAGCCTCATTGCTCGGTAAGATTTGTGGGGAGAACTAATATTGCAGGGGGAGCACTGAATACCCTCAAGTGTGATTGAGAAAACCTTGCAGTGCTGTATGGCTTCTTCCATATCACATACCCATTCACTAACAATATTTCATTCTCTTGTGTGTTTACTTCCTGTGTGTTTTTTTCACAAATGCTTGAAGTGACCCTCCACTGATATCTTCATCTGATACTAATGAGTTATAGGGCCACCACATCTGCTAATTACAATTCCACCTCTTTTCATCAAATCACTTAGAGATCCATTTGGTTATAGCTAGTGATGCACCAAAAAGACATTTTGAAACCAAAAAGAAAAAATGTGAGGCCGAAACCGAAAATGATTTCTTTGGTAACCTTTTTAATTCTTTCTAAAGATTTAATTTAAATTTTTTTTTTCTAAACTTTTTCTTTAATATATTTATATATTTAAAAAAAAATATTTTAATTTTTTCACTTTATTGTTGGGGGGCTTGGGGGGGAAATGTCAGGGAACTAAACAGACCCCTGATATTTCCCTTTTCAAATAGAAAAAGAGATTGAGGACTCTGTCCTCAATCTTTTTTTTCTGCAGCCCCTGTTATAAATGAACAGGAATCCTCTATACTGAGTGTTCCTGTTCAATCATACATTGTGGAGATAGTATGTTTACCATGTCCACAATCATGAATGAACAGGAAGTGATGTAGAGCACTTCCTGTTCATCCATAACTGGGGACACAGTAAACATACTATGTCCTCAATTATTTACAAGCACTCAGCGATCACTGATCGTTGAGTGCTTGTACCCGCTCTCCATCCTGACTCGCTGTCACAGGAGGCAAAGTGGGCGGGGCAGGGAGGAAAGCTCGGTCTATTTTGACAACGGACTCCCCCCCACCCCCCCTGCACCATCGGCCCGGCCTCCTGTGACATCTGTCTCCACCCCCATACCGCTCTCCTGATCTGTCGCAGCCAAGCGGGGCGGTCACCGCTCTGCCTCTTCTGACAGTTTCTTTCCTCCCTGCTGGACGCTGCGCTGTGTTAGAGGGGACTCAGGGCAGCGCCAAGGTTGTAGGAGAGAAACTAGACATGCACCACAATTTTGGCCGAAAGATGGTACTTTTGACGTTTTGCCAAAAGTGCCATTTCGTCCGATATGTTTCGGTGGCCGAAATTTCGGTGCATCCCTGATTATAGTATCCTTTGATTCCAGGCATATCCTTATTCCATTCTAAGCCCTGATAAAGAGGGAGTGTTGTTGACTCTGGAAAGCATTGGCTTTTTTTTTTTTTTTTCCTCGAATTGTGAACAATAAAAGGCACTTTTGGACTCTTTCACCTTTTGGTTTGGTGCCCTTTATTTCTAAGCATTGAGTCACTTCTGGTTACCCAACAATGGGCCCTATTTTCTTACTAGTGACAGAGAGTTTATTTGCAAACTTTCCTGCATCTAAAAGGTTTCAGCGAGCATCGAAACTTGAGCGCCTCTTAAATGTGGAGAAAACCTATTTCTGGGAAAGGATCAAAACTGCTATTTAAGAGAGGTTTATCCTCACTTCCTGTTCTGCTGACGAGGATTGAACCAGACAGGAAGTAAAGGAAAATATACAGCAGGGATACAACCAGAAATAAAAATCTGACAGGAGTCTGTTCCAGCCTTCCCCTACGGTGCAAAAGAAAAACATTTCTATTTCCGTTGCTGTTGGAGAGTTCTCGTCACTTCCTGGTGGGTAAAACATTGTCACCAGGACAGGAAGCGGTAGCAGTAAAAACCTCACGGGAGTTCTAACCATTCCCCACACTATCCAAAAATGATGACAGAGAAGCCCGGTGCTGTGTTTATAACCTACAGAATAGGGTTTGTGGGAATACAAAGATCCTCTTGAGAAACGATGATGAAGATTTCAGTCTAGTCGGATCAGCTTGGTGATATATTGCTGGAACGTGTTCATGAAGAAGGCTGTGATCTGTGTATTGGGAGAACTTTATCAGCTTGTCGGGCTTTTCTCTTGCAAGGAACATCACAAATTATAAATATAATAATGGGAGAACATTTCTTCTTTATGTAATACAATAGTCTTGCGACGGCATAAAATGTCACAGCAAAAAGTTTCCCAGCACACTCACCAGCCAGCATGCAAACAAACCTGTCTCACCGCTAAGGTTAAAAACAGAGGTTTAGATACAAGTCTTCTGCAGAAAATGTGAAAGCCGCACCGCCTCGCCACGCCAAGGCACCTCCATATAGTGTGGTCCTCACTCTAAACTATCAAAGTCTCCATCTTGGAGCACATGGGGCAAAAGATCAAATTGGGTGCAGGTTTGTCAGGAGGAAGCCCAACCCCCTTAAAGGCACAGGGACGCACAAAGGACCCTGCACATTTTTTTTTTTTTTGCATGCTGGCTGGTGAGTGTGCTGGGAAACTTTTTGCTGTTAATGTTTAAAGCCCTTCCATGTGCACCTTGCTGTAAAGCTGGTAACAAATTGATGAGTGCGTTCGCCATTTGTTTTGCTTGACATAACATGTCATACATATGATGGGATTCACCTGAATGTTCAGACATGTCGGGTGCTTTCTCACAAATTGCATCCAGCGTCATTGGCATTAACTCCATGTTGAGGATGGACTTGGAAGGGTTAATCACAGAGCACAGCCTTTATGACATACAAATGGTCGGTTATGTGTAATATAAACCTCCTAAAGGTGTTATCACCTTCCTGTTATCATTGCATTGTCTGTGCTTTCAGGGAAGTCGCCTACAGCACAAAAATATGACGGCTGTGGTTACGGCTCGCTGGGTAAGTTTATTAACGCTGTAATGCAGTGGTGAGCAAACTCCGGCCCTCCAGCTGTGGAGCAACTACAAATCCCATGAGACATTGCAAAACTGACAGCCACAGGCAGATGAATTGTGGGATTTGTAGTTTCACCACAGCTGGCAGGCCAGGCTTTGCTTTGCCTACCCCTGATGTAATGTATGGATACTTTCCACAAAGTAAAAATAATACAGTAACAGAATGGTTTTAGTCATCCGCTCATATGTATTTAACGTGTTTAAAGCCAAACTTCAGACAAACAACTCAGATGAAACACATATATTGGGAGTTGTTGCCTGCCAAAAGATTTGTAATTGTTTCTACCCAGTCCTAAAATTTACACGGCTCTGCCCCATAGTACAGTTCTACCTGCCAGGGGAGGGGACCTGAGCTTTTCCTGCTTCAGTTCACTTTCACATACAGGTTTCCTTTCTGTCCCCTCCCTTTAATTGGACAGTGTGAGGGTAAGCAGAAGACTGATGAGCTCATCTCTCTGTCACTTTGCTCTTTGACTCTTCCCTATGAGCATGCTCCTAGCACTGCAGCACATTAGATCTTTGTGCGGTCTCTGCTGTACAGGGACTGTAAAGGACTGAGATCGAATCAGATTCAGGTACGTACACTGCATTGCAAAAAATAATGATGTATTAACTCCTTAGTGACCAGTGATGTCCATAGTACGTCACTGGCACCGGGCCCATTTAAACAGACTCCCGGCGGCTAAAAAACTCTGTTTACAATTGTAAAGCCGACTGTTGGCTTTACAATATAATCGATCTGGCGACTCAGCTTTTGCCAGATCGCTTCTCTGGGCCGTCCAACACCCCCCGTGTTTCTCCGGCTCTGCTGCCCCTCCTACGGGCCCTGGACCTGCTTCTCTGGTGTCGGGGGGGGGGGGGGGGGGGGGGG